TTCAACTCCCAGAATTCCCCAGCCAGCATTCGCTGGCTGGGGAATTCTGGGAGTTGAAGTCCGGACATCTTCAAGTTGACAAGGTTGAGAAACACTGGTATAGGTCATAAGCACATAATTCCCTTTTTTTTCCAGTGGCCTCGTGACTTTGAGCAGCCACTAAACAAACCGTCGTAAGTCGAGGACTATCTGGATTGAAAAGGATATATGATGGCATAGCTTGGGCTGCGCCCCTTGTGAACGTAGTGAAGCTCCGTCCTCACTGTTTCGCTTCAGTGAAATAAGTTAGTTTTGAAACTTTAAATAAGTTTCTCAAAAGGGGACTTTGTGCTTGGGGAAAAAATCTGGCTCGTTCCCGCAGCTGAGGCAGCAAACCCAAAATACACCCGGCAAACGGCTGCCAGGCCAAGATTCCGCTGCCACGCTGGAAAAGAAACAGCTAATTATCCATGCATGGCTTTTGCAAGATGCCAAATTTGCATGCTTGTTTTGAATTTCCCCCAAAAAATGTGACACACTGAATATCAATTTTCTGCTCTCTGTCTCTCTTCTCTTCTCTTCCTTTCTCACACTTCCATTTCACACTCCCTCCCTTCTTTCTCTCTCCTCTTTCTCTCTCTCTCTATTCTCTTTTCCCCTTCTTTCTCTCTTTTATTTCTCTCTCTTCTCTTTCCCTTTCCCTTTCTCTCTTCCCCCTTCTCTCCCTCTCTCTTATTTCTCTCTCTCTTTCTCACACTTCCTCCCTTCTCTTTCTGTCTCTCTTACCTCCTCCTCTCTCTCTCTCTTTTATTTCTCTCCCTCAACAATACCATCAAACCACAACAGCTGCCTCTCCTTGGGAAGGACTCAATGGGAAGACAGAATGACCCAACCCAGTGTGAACATCTGTCCAACTGCACAACCAGCCATAATACTTTTTAAAATGTATATACCACTCAATTCTCAGCTATGTAAATGACTCACAACAATCAAATACATGCTAGAGGTTCTTTGAGAGCAGCCAAGGAGAAAGAGGTGTGACATAACACAATAAAGGTTGCAGGAACTGGGTAGGTCTAGTTGAATGAAAAGAAGGACCATGATAACAGTCTTCCAATATCTCAGGGGTTGCCCCAAAGAAGAGAGAGTCAAGCTATTCTCCAAGGCATCTGAGGGCAGGACAAGAAGCAATGGATGCAAACTAATCAAGGAGAGAAGCAACTTAGAACAGAGGAGAAATTTCCTGACAGTTAGAACAATTAATCAGTGGAACAACTTGCCTCCAGAGGTTGTAAGTGATCCAACACTGGGAGTTTTTAAGAAGATGTGGGATAACCATTTGTCTAAAGTGGTGTAGGGTCTCCTGCCTAAGCAGTGGGCTGGACTAGAAGACCTCCAAGGTCCCTTCCAACTCTGTTATTCTATTGTATTCTAATCTATTCCTACTCTATTCTTTCATTCTTAATTCAATTCAATTCTATTCTATTCTACTCTACTCTATTCTACTCTATTCTATATATGTATTCAATGGTATTCAATGTATATAACTTGCTGAGCAAAGGGAGAATAAGCCGTGCTACTGTGCTTAGCTGACAAGGTTTTTGGCTCGCAAAAAAATGTGTATGAGTCAGGGATTCGAAACTTAGATGGTAGGTTTCTAGCTCTTTCAGGGGAAAAAAAAAAAGCAATTTCCTTCACCATCTGTAAATATTTGGTTCCCAAATCTGCAGCTTCTCACCCCAGCCCATCCTTTAGAATTGCCAATTGTCTTGCAAAAGGGCTCTCTGGGCGAATAGCTAATTGCAATTAAGGTGTCTTCCAAGTTAATTAAATATTTAATGGAGGTTTTTAGAGAACGGAATTGATGGAAGAGAATCAGTCCAAATCAACAGAAGACATAACAAAATCGACAATCTCTGATCGGGTGTTCTGACCGAGGCTTCCCGAGCGTCTGAAGCAAATTCCTTGTCTTGACAAAAGCCCCTTTTCTTAATGGACTGTGAATTCTGCTCATTCGCCTCCAGCAAAGTCTTTCAAGGGAGGATTTACGGTCACAGACCTTCTCTGGCTTGGAGAGCTGCCAGGCTGAGATCTGGGAGAGTCAGGAACCAACTATGGGCATTAATTGTCTCCTGCAAACTCCACTCCCCTTTCGCTCCTCTTTTATTTCCCCTGGGAGGGACCCTTCACTGTCCACCTGTGGCCTTACTCCCAAGTCCACCCCTGTTCCTTAGTTTCTCCCTTCTCCTGGCCACTCTGCGCTTGTGCACACAGGGAACAGGCTCCAGCTGTTCTTCTGCCTCACTGCTGTCAGATTCTGAAGACAGCTGATAACTGGCATGCGGTCCTGGCCCCCTCCAGGACTGGCCCAGGTTCCTCCCCAACCTCCTCACTGCCTGAATCTGCTGCCAGCTCCACTGGCTGCTGGCGGGTCACAACATTGGGATGGGGGAGCTGAACTTCCAGAATAGTGAAGAAATCTTAAGGAGTCCCAAATAGGTGGACCAAGAGTTGACAGATACTGAAAGCCGTAGATCTACAGTCATGGGTTTTTCCACCCAACAAATCCAATCCTTCGATTTAAAGGGTCAACAACTTTCTGATCTCTGGTGGGAAAAGGACCTGAGAAGGTCCCTTCCATAAGTGATATATGGTATCCACCCGCTTCCGATGAAAGTTCTCCAGATGTTCAAAAAATAACCTCTTTCCCAGATCTACCCCACCATCGTTTAAATCTTGGACTTCTCTGTATGCCAGAAAGTTTCATTATCAATATTGTTCTCCACCCAAACTGAATTTGATGCACGAGAAACTCATCTCCAAGTCGGACCGGCCAAGGAGAGGAGATGATGAGACTTACTCAAGTAATGTAAAATGAGTTAGGCCAACTTTAAAGTCTAGCTGTAGCTAAGGGACGATCCCTTTGCAGAAGACACGCTTCACCTAGCTATGGAAAGATGGGCTAACCCAAAACACTGGATTCCCACGAGACGCCAAGCTACAACCACTATCCAAGTATTGCCTGCTGTGTGAATGCGCCAGTTAACACATCCGGGTAAGACTGTTGTGTGGACACACCCAGACATGATACTTAGTCAATCCACAGCTACCAAAGTGTTATTAGCACAGCAAGGGAAGGTTGGGAAGGGAAACCAAAGAGCCTCTTGAGGAAGGTGAAGGAGGAGAGTGCAAAAGTTGGCTTGAACTCAACGTTAAGAAAACCAAGATCATGGCATCCGGGCCCTCTCAATTCCTGGCAATTAGATGGAGGAGAAATGGAGGGAGTGACAGATTGTATTATCCTGGGTCCCAAGATCACCGCAGATGGGGACTGCAGCCGAGGAATCCAAGGACACTTTCTCCTGGGGAGGAAAGTGGTGGCAAATCTAGACTAAAAAGCGGAGACATCGCCCTGCCAACACAAAGGGCGTCTAGTCAAGGCTGCGGGTTCCCAGTCCCACCCTCCTTTTGGCATAATCTCCGTATTCTGAACCTCTGAATTATGCAGCTGCTTTGGCAAATGGAGCAT